TTCTCCTCCGTCTCCTCCGCGCGCCTTGGTCGCATGAGGCTTGGCCGATCCGCTGCCGCTGCCTTCTTGTCGGTGCTCTCGCCGCTGACCCCGGCCAGTCGCACTCTCTGCGTCCGCAGCACTTCGGTCCTCCTCCTCCTTCTCCCTCTCCTCCTCCTCCTCCTCCTCGCCCTCCTCGTCCTCCTTTCCTCCTCCTGCTCCTCTTCCTGCTCCTCCTCCTCCTCCTCTTCCTTGTCCTGCTCTTCATGCAGCTGCACGCAGTCTGTGTCGGCTCTCACTCCGATTGTTGCGTTGCGTTGAAGGGCTTCAGTGGGCGAGCACACGCTAGCGCCAACACACGTTCTTAGGATCATCGACATGGCGGGCCAGAATTGTCCAGCAACCTTCTGAAACAGGGGCCCTCGATCGTCGGGGGTCGAGGTGCAGAACTCGGCAGGTACATGATGATGGTGTGCAACGACATGCAGTGCCGGGGTATTACGGGCCCCGCGGAGTCCGCGAGCGTCCTGGAGCCGTTGTCCAAACTCGGGGAGGGCGGCTTCGGGGACGTATTCTTGGTGAGGACCAGGGAGAAGAATTCAACCCCCGCTTTTCCCCCCTTCTCCCCTCACTCACCTCCCCGCCTCCCCTTGCTCCACGTTCGGCACGAACGAAATGGGTACGGAAAGAATGGGTACCATGCCCAACAGCAGTTCCTGTTCATTTTGAACGGGACTCGCTGTCCGCGCTGCCGTGGCCTCTGTCGATTTGAGGACGACCGCTGTTGGTATGGGAAAAGATTTGTTGTTGGGCATTGTGCAATTTTTTCTGTGCACATTTCGGGGGTCCAAGTCGCCTCCAAAGGTTCGGAACTAACGAGCCATGGTGTGCGCATTGTCTGCAGCTGGAAGCAGTTCTCGAGACCCAGATCTGTCAAACTGCTGCTGGGGATGGAACCATGTTGCCTGGAGGGACATGGTCGAGAGCACCGGGGCTGGGAGATTTGAAGATATCAAGTCGTCGGGGGGTTTGGGCCTGGTGCCGATCTATACCAAACCGAGCTTAGAACTGCCGGTTCCGCGGCTCTTCTCTCGTCTTCTTTTGGTGGGGTCTCTTGTGGGTGCCACGGCAGGCGTCGCCTCGGGGTGCAGGCCAGAGCGCGGCAGGGGAGAGGTCCAGAGTCCAGCGGAGAGGCGGTATCCGTCCGGTGAGGGCGTTCGTTAAGGAGTGTGCCCAAGAGGCTGTAGACCCTGGGGGGTTCCTGATCAACCGGGCGCGGCGGTGATGTGCATGGCCGATCCACGATGGGAGTTCCGCTGGCTTCCAGACCCTATGGGTTCCCTATCGAAGGCTTCTGCACCCGACGCCCCCGCCGTATCTTTTCGGCCCCCCCGTGGCCGCCCGGCGGGGCGGGCGAGGGGGAGCCGGTGTTCGGGCTCCCCCCCCCGCGTGACTCGGCGCGGCTCGGGCCGGGAGCCGTCCTCGGGGAGGAGCAGGGTGACCCAGCAGCAGTACGCGCTGAAGCAGATCTCCATCGCGAAGTGCAGGGAGACGGGCGCCCTGGACCAGGTGCGAACGGAGAGGGACATCATGGCCAGGATGGACACGCCCTTCATCGTCCACTTCCACGGGGCTTTCACCGACGAGGTGCACATCTTCTTTGTGATGGAGGCCGTCACGGGGGGGCACATGTTCGGGCTGCTGTGCAACCACTCGGACGTCCTGTTCTCCGACAGCCGGCCGCGAGGCTCCGCCGCAATGTTCTACATTGCGTGCGTGGCGCTGGCGCTCGGCTACTTGCACGAGCGCTTCATCGCCTACAGGGACATCAAGATGGAGAACGTGCTGCTGGACTCCCGCGGCTACGCCAAGCTGTGCGACATGGGCTTCGCCCGCTTCGTGCTGGGGAAGACGAACACCTTCCTGGGCACCCCCGACTACATGGCCCCAGAGATCATAGACCCGCCGCACGCCCACGACAAGAACGTGGACTGGTTCGCCCTCGGCGTGCTCGCCTGCGAGCTGCTCACGGGCCAGGCGGGGCCTCTCTCGAGATCCTTGTCGCCCCCACTCGAGACCGGATTCGGGAGCGAAGCCGGGACGTGCACGCACACGAATCCACATTTGGTTTCGAAAGTTCGCATTTCGCGAACGTTCGTAGCACGAGGCGGGTCTTTCGGACTGGAGGGCCAGATTCATGTACGTGGTTGGGCGAGCACGTCCTTTTGTGGGCTCCCTCCGGATTCCAGTTCCAGCCGGCCCGATCCCATCCCCATTCCCACATTCCGACGATCCGATGATGCCCGTTGCTTGCATGGCGTGGTCGGACATCCTGGTGGTGAGGAGGAGAGTAGCAGGAGGAGAGGAGGAGGGGAGGAGGAGGAGGAGGAGGAGGAGGAGGAGGAGGAGGAGGGGGAGGAGGAGGGGGAGGAGGAGAGGCGGAAGATGATGATAAGGATGACGGGAACCAGTGTACACCCAAGACGCATCAACGATGTTGCAATGAACCCTCCCTCCCAGTTGCTTTTCAGAGGTCCCTACCAGAATTTGTATTCATTGTGGGAGCCCCATCGGCAAACAACCGTCTGCGAGTCCTCACTCAAGCGTGCTAAAACACAATACCTGGGATTTCAGCGCCATGAATCAGCGTGACTCTTGCGCCCCGACAGTCCTAAGGTGCGCCAGAATGATATTCCAGGGACTTCAACGCCGCGAACCAATGTGACCACTGCGTCCTGCACTTTCTAAATCGAGCCAGAACGCAATTCCAACGTACGAGCCCTTCTATAGGATGCAAACTTTGAAGGCGAGAGCCACATTTTGAATGCAGGCTTCCTCCATCATTGAATCAGATGCAAACTATGAATACGAGTATGCCAGGTGCTAAGGCGAGAGCCTCATGTTGAACACCACCCGCCCTCCACCTTTGAGTTTGTTGCAGCTTGCAAGCTTCAGGGCCATACGAGGAAGTTTCATGCGAAACGCCTGGCCTGCCCTACTGACACGTCTGGGTGGCCGACAGGGTGGTGTTATTTAATCGCTCATTCCTCAGACTGCACCACTGTTGGTACACGTTGGTGAGCGCGGGCGAGAAGGATAGGGGATTCGATAGTGGAGGGGGAAGAGGAGGAGAAGGAGGAGGAGGAGGAGAGGCAGCAGCAGGATGATGATGTTGATGATGCTGATGCTGATGATGATGCTGATTATGATGATGATGACGATGATGATGATGACGATGATGATGCTGATGATGATGACGATGATGATGATGTTGATGATGATGATGAGGAGGAGGAGGATGAGGAAGAGGAAGAGGATGAAGAGCAAAAGGAAGGGGAGGAGGAGGAGGAGGAGGAGGAGGAGGAGGAGGAGGAGGAGGAGGAGGGAGGGGGGGGGTAGAGGAGGAGGAGGAGGTGGCGGCGGAGGAGGAGGTGGTGGAGGAGGATGAGTAGGTGGTGATGGTGGTGGTGGAGGAGGAGGGGGGGAGGAGAAGGGGAGGAGGAAGAGGAGGAGGAGCAGGAGGAGGAGGAGGAGGAGGAGCATGAGGAGGAGGCGGAGGCGGAGGAGGACGAGGAGGAGGAGGAGGAGGAGGAGGAGGAGGAGGGAGGAGGAGGAGGAAGAAGAGACGAAGGATGCGCAGGCTGAGGCGGAGGCGGAGGAGGAGGAGGATGAGGAGGAGGAGGAGGAGAAGGAGGAACAGGAGCATGAGGAGCAGGAGGAGCAGGAGAAGCAGGAGGAGGCGGAGGGAGGAGGAGGCGGAGGAGGAGGGGGAGGAGAAGAGGAGAGGAGAGGAGGAGGAGGAGGAGGAGGAGGAGGAGGAGTGGGAGGAGAGGAGGAGGAGGACGAGGAGGAGGAGGAGGAGGAGGAGGCGGCGGAGGAGGATGAGGAGGAGGAGGAGGACGAGGATGAGGAGGAGGTGGAGGAAGAGGCGAAGGATGATGATGAGGATAATGATGAGGAGGAAAGGGGAGGACGAGGAGGGAGGGAGGGAGGGAGGGAGGGAGGGAGGCTGAGGAGGAGGAGGAGGAGGAGGAGGAGGAGGAGTGGGATTACGCCCTGGAGAGAGTCGCGCCCCTCCTATGCCGTCTTGAGCAGGCAGTAGCCCCGCTGGCTACGGACCCAACACTAGCACCGCCTGCGTTCGGTGGCACGGCGACGCAGCGCACCAGGCGGAAATTGCTGGACGCAGCTGCTTGGTGTCGCGACGTCCTCCTCGTGATCGCCGGGCACGCAGCAGGGAATGTCCGCGTCAGCGCTCCCAAGGCTCTTCGGCCTTGCTCCCCTTCCACCCCCCCCCCCGCAGTTGCGACTACTCGTCCTTCGCCGAATACAAGCAAGCAGCGGCTGACGCTGCTTGGGAAAAGCGCAGGGCCACGTTTAAGAAATACCAAGCGCTGCGGGATTCGTGCCCGAGTCAGGCGGAGCAGTTCTTGTCAAAATGACTTAAACAGGCAGCGATTTCGGTGTTGCCTTGGAAGACAAGCAAACGGGCAGCCTCCCCCCAAGAGGGCGCATGGTAGAGGAGCTCGTCAAAGACCTCTTCGCGCGCGCCCAGAACGACTTCCCCCAAGACCCAGAAAGCGTTTCCGCCCTCGGGTGACAAGTATCACTACTACGCGAGAGTGGCACCGCCCCGGGGTGCTTGGAGAGCGCAGGCAGGCCCTCCCCCCAAGCACGTCGGGACGACGGCCCATTCAGCAACACCGAGGTCGCCGAAGCAACTGCGAAGCTGCGCCCGGATAGCTGCGCGCTGGGCTGCACCACGGCGATGTTGCGCGCGCGCTCCCTTGCGGGCCGAAGGGTGACAGCCGCCCTCGCGAATTTCTCTCGTCACGTGGGCTTGACGTCCTCTCTATGGTCTCTGCGGAAGTTCACCCTTATCCGCAAGAGCGGCCCGAAGTTGGTGAGGTCGTCTACGTGTTTTCGTCCAATAAGTATAGCGTCTGATTTCGCGCAACTCATGGATGCTTCGTGGGTGGGGCGTTCTTTTGATTGTATCCAGCGCTTCTGCGGGGATGCGCAGGTAGGGGGCGTCTTGGACCCAATATCGTTGGTGCTCGCCCTTTTGCTGGTATGTGAACTCCAGCAGTATGCCGGGGTATCCACATACATTGCCTTTCTGGATTTGAAGCGGGGCTTTGATGTGGCAATTCACAGCGGCATGCTCGTGAACACCATCTTGGCTGGGATCAGCGGCAGCGCTTGGCTTTGGATCGACGATGTTATCCGTGAGGACAAGCAAGTGCTGGTATTACATGGTCTCCTCTCGTTGACATTTGTCCTAGCGTGTTCACTGCTATTCCAGACCGCGCGGGCGACCTAGGCGGGCGACCATGCGAGCAAGCCGCCGCGGCCCTTGCTTCCCTCCCCTGTTTGGCCGACCGTCTTGCCACTGCCGAGCTGCTCGGCGAATCTTTTTTGGACCCATCCCAGTATATCGATGATACCGTCACAGCGTGCTCCTCAATTGGGGCGCTCCGAGCAGTCCTGGACCAGTCTATCCCTTCGGCGACCGTGCGTTACGCCCGGCAGGCCAAGGCATCCTTCAAGTTTGGTCCAGACAAAACGTCTGCTACAGTCAAAAACCCCAATAAGGACGCGCGACTTTGCTCAGGGTACCCTTGCGTCCTTGCTCTTCCTTGCTCTTGCGTCCTTGAGGTTTTCGTCGTCCACCGCCCCAAAAATCCCAACTTCGGCTTCCAAGGGTCTTGCGTCCTTACCGCGCGTCCTTATTTGGGTTTTTGACTGTATGGTCATCGGCCAGAGCCCCACTTTCGACTCCACCGACATGGGTTTCGATCTTTGCGCGTCGAGAGTGATCTTAGGAGTCGCCTTCAGTGCGGATCTGACCTTCAGCTCTTTCGCACGTTCGTTGCTCGCGCGCGGGAGAGGGCCCTCTGTGACGAGCTCTACCAGGCTGCAGATGCGGGCGGCTGCCCTGCGCCAGTCTTCGCCACGCAGGTTCCTACCAGGGTGGAGGGGGCCGTCTTGTACGAGGCCGCGCTCCTCATCGACGCGCCGCGCATCGAGTCCGATTTGAACAACCTGTAGGCGTGGTTGGGCCCGGGCAACTTTAGGCTGTAAGAGAGGGCCGCGCCTCAATTTGGGCGCTTTCTAGGATCCACTGTGGGTGGGGGAGGCGCCTGGGCACGCGCATGCTGGAGCAGGCGATTATGGCGAGGGCGCGTCTTTGGCTACTTCCCGATGGCCACCCCGCGGTAGTGATGCGGGAAGCAGCGCGCACTTCGCCTGCTCCGTCGTGGTGGAGGAGCGAGGGCAACCTACTTGTTGAAATGCCGGGCGGCCCGCTCCCAGATATAACCGAAGTCCCCCAGCTCGCATGTAAGATCGCCGCCGCGACAGCGGCGCCGGAAGACAGGAAAGCTCGCCTGAAGCGATATAAATAGGAAGTGATCCGCCCGGTTCTTCGCGAATGTGACCGATCGGCTTACCTTTCTGCGGCCAATCGCCCTCTTCCATCCTTCGGCGTCCCTTTCTCCTCCCAGCCGCAGGCAGACGCCGAGGCGGGAGCAGTATTGAGGGCATAGGATGACGTGGGGTCGCTGGACTTCCGCCTATGGGCGGTATGCAGGATCAGCGGGAGGTGGCCGCTCCCAGTGCTTGGTGGCGAGGACGCGCCGGTACTGTTATTTAGCTGTGGTGCCTGTCCGTGCGTAGACGTGCCCGTTACTCACGCCCTATTGGCGTGCGCGGGCACTTCCGAGCTTCGCAAGGAGCTCTGGCAGGGCACCCCCATGCCACCTCTTCGGTCCACGAGGGCAGTACTAGCTGCACTTCCGGGCCCGAGCGAGGCCCTGCCCACGTCCGCTTCGTGGCACGGGCGCTCCTACTATGTGGTCGGTGTCGCGCAGAGGCAGGCAATGCAGGTATGGCCGGAGTATGACCAGCAATTGGGGTGGGTCCATCACCGGGCTGGTTCAGCAGGGGGAGGTTGAGGAGACGGCAGGTGTCTGGCTGGGCTGGGCACGTGTCCGTCGGCGTCTGCACGTGGCGGTGGAGGTGGAGGAGGAAGGCGG